GAAAACTGTTGACAGAGCTTGGTTTTACTCAGCGTGGATCTATGCCTATGCATTGTGATAACTAGTTAACTATCTATATGGCAAAGAATCCAATGTTTTATGAGAGAACTAAACACATTGAGGTTGATTGTAATTCTGTCAGAGATGCTTGGGAAAAGAAAGTGATCTCTCTTCAGTTCACTCCGTCTTTAAAACAGTTAGCTGATATTTTCACCAAAACTACCTCACCTAAGGTGTTTTCCAATTTGTGTAACAAGATGGACATGATTGATATATATGTTCCAGCTTGAGGGGGAGTGTTGGTATTAGCACACTAGTATTAGTATTGGGTTATCGGGTTTAGTCTCATTAACCTATTACCCATATGTGTTGTGTACTCTTATATATAGACCCTTTTTTCAGATGAATGAAGATATGCAATTCTGATTTACCATTCTCAACAGTGATGATCTTATGTCATCACCCGTGCTTGTGTAAAACCCTAAAAATTTCAATCCATCTTCTGGTCGGTCAACTGATCAGAAGGACCAGTCGACCGATTGGTTTGCAGAACTTAGGTTCGGGTCGAGTCAGTTTTATGTATATATATATAAATCCAAAATTTGTTCTCTTACCCTTCTCTTTCATGTTGAGCAGCAGACACCACCTCTCTAAACCCTAGATTTCTTGAGGAGGAGAAAGGCGACGACTTTTGTGAAGAAAGGAAAAAGTTTTTCTCACGTTTGCGGGATCATAACTTCTTCTCAAGGCAAGATCATCTTCTCCAAACCCATCCCCCACCCCTTTTTTTTGTTTTTGTTAGATTAAATTTTCTAATTTAAAATAAAAAAACAAACTTTTTAATTAGGGTTAAAGATTTGAAATAAATCTAACATCAGATGTATTACTAATTAATTATTTGTAGGATGGATTTGCAATTATAATCATGTTTAGGGTTATTAGATCCTCTCAAATTGATATTTATGATTTTATGTATCAGAGTAAACCCTAAATACCCTAAATAAGAATTAAAACATGTTTTATTTTGAGTAAAATTTTGATTTTATGATATTTTCGTGAAACCTGTCAGTTTTTGATCGAGTCGGTCGACTGATCAGAAGAATCGGTTGACCGATAAGTTTTTAGGAAACTGAGTTTTCTCTCAGGTCGATCGATTGACATATGTATCGGTTGACTGATTGAGTCTTGCTGTTTGTGCATATTGTGCACGTTTGCCGTTAGGTCAACTGATGGAAAACTAGTCGACTGATCAAGTGTCAGTCGACTGATCTCTAAGGAATAGTCGACTGACTTGATGCTGTCTTTGCATGTGTTGATCTTCCACGTGCGTTGGGCCGTGGACATGATGTACGGGCCCGCACGTCTATACACGTGCGTGACCCTGGGAGTATACATGTGGAGTTTGAGCATACACGGACCCTTTGAGATGGTGAGGCCTCATGTGTTGATTTTGTCACGATGGGAGATGATAAGATAGAGTTGCATATGTTTGCATGGGTATCATTGATGGGCATAACTCAAAATTACCTAGGGTAGTGAGTCGATACACCACACTGGAGTAGGCCGATGCGCCTATGCTCTGTAGGATGCCTGAGTAGGTAGCACGTCCCGCACGAAGATGCGATGAGGCTGATACGTCGTACCTGTAGGATACCCTAGTGGGTAGTATATCCCACATGGTGATGTGATGAGGCTGATATGCTGTACTTGTAGAATGCCCTAGTAGGTAATCCGTCCTACAAGGTGATGTGATGAGGCTGATGCGCCTATACTATATAGGATGCCATAGTGGGTAGTCCGTCCCGCATGATGATGCAATTGCAAGGTTGAAAAATTGACTGAGATTGATTCTTTTGTTTTAAGAAAACTGGGTTCGATCACTTGATACGAAACCCTTACAATCACTCACACTCTCTCTCGATTACAGATGAAGAGAAGATTAATTCATCTCCTCCTTATTTAACATGGGCTCTTGGTAGCGAAATGATGCTTCCCTTGATGCTTGAGTCGAGATTGCCTCACGTTGATGATCGAAACAAGATTGCTGTAGCTTCTGATGTTTGTTAGATTGCTAGAATTGAGGTTCGAATTTTAGATCTATACGTAGGAGCTCTGATCTCTGATGATTATCTAAAGCTTTAGAAGTCCGAACCAATCCATCCTTCTTCATAGCTGCTTACTGCTATTTATAGAGCTTTAGCACGTAATTAACGTGCTACAATCATGGGGTCGTGGGCATAACTAACTCCTGAGATTTAGCCCATGTTGATTAATGGAGCGTAACGTACTCCTTAAATTTAGCCCACGTGGGCTGACTTAGTCCTTGTGGCCGTTACAGTCGAATTTTGTATGGATGATGAGCCTCGTTACGTGGTGAGGTTCGTTAGACGAGCTTCGTCTTCGCTGACGAGCTTCGTCTTCGCTGATGAGCTTCGTCTTCATTGACGCACTTCAAATCTTGTTTCTAACGACAAGCTTTGTTGTTTGAGACGAGGTCCGTCATTGTAATGACCCTCGTCATGCTTGTTATAAGCTTTGACGCTCCAAGGCCAAATGATTAGCCGATGATCTATGAAGATCCATGAGAGTGAAGGAGAGATAGGCTTTTTGACTAGCCTCTCCATCTCCTCCCTCTTCTTTCATGTTGATCATGCCTATTTATAGACTTAGGACCATTATGGAGTGAGTTAATGGGCTTTAACTCCCCTTATAATGAGGGAGTTATGGTTACTAACTCCCATTTAAATGGGTGAGTTAATTATCATTAACTCTCCTTAAATAAGTGAGTTATTGATAATTAACCATCCTTAAATGTAACGTCTAGAAATGGTGGCAAACGAGGTTCGTCAATGACGAACTTTGTTTCTGGACGAACTTCATCTTCAATGATGAACTTCGTTTCTGGATGAACTCCGTTTCTGGACGAACTTCATCTTTAATGACGAACTTCGTTTCTGGGCGAACTTCGTCTTCAATGACAAAGTTCGTCTTTCAAGGGGTGAGGTGCCTTTTGATGAGGTTCGTCTGCGGATGGACTTCATCTTCAATGACGTTCATCATCATGATGGGCTTTGTTGGCTGAGATAAGGTTCATTATGATGACGAGCCTCGTCATGCTTGTAGCGAGGTTCAACATTGCTTTATTTCTTAGTATTTTTTAGTGTCTACAGCGATGAGTCGTAGGATTTTGCGAGCGACAACACTTTGTATTATTTGATTGTCTGGGTCTCAGGTGGGTACTGATTATATACATAGTCCAACATTGAGGTATACTTTGCGACGATGCATATTTTTGTTAAGGATTACACATGAATGGTGTATTTGTTCCTGTGCTACCTACTCGAGGGTAGGGTGAGATACCGTGATTCGATATGCTGGTCATGTTCTAGTTAAGGTTTGGTGGTTTCTTTATAGCTTATTTATAGGATTTGGAGTTGATATTTAGCGATTCACAATTTGAGATACATGATATATATATGAGGGTTTTCTTGTTTGGATTATTCGCTCGACGTAGTTATCTCGTGTTGTGGAGTTCTAAATCTTAACTCCTCTTAGTACAAGGTATATGATTTGTATATATATATATGCTATGTGTAGTATTTTATATGCTATACCCCTTCCCTCGGGGGCGGTGGAGATGTTCTTACTAGCGTTCTGACGTTCGTTGTTTCCATCTTTTTCAGACAGCGGGTCAGGCGTTCGGAGAGTCACAGGTTGACGGAGACTAAGTATAGTTTACCATCATTTATTGGTAGCTAGATAGTGCTCCACAATAGACTATTTATGATTTTAATCTTTTAGAGATGTATTTCACTTTGGAGACTGAGTGCCTATGTACTGTTTAGTTGACTCTTATATGTTAGAGACTCATTGTTCTTATTTTAGTTTATCATATGTATTCGCTTTTCGTTTGTTGGGACATAATTATAGTTACTGTTGGATATCTCTACTCTACATTGTGTTCCTTGTATTTTCATTCTTTATACCTGTTTGTACCCTCACTACTTTACATTTGACTTCTGCTAGAGTGATAGTGATTGTGACAGTGAAACATGTTTATGCACAATGTTGGATACATGGCAGGTTTGATATTTTTAGGTTCACCTTGGACTGTAGTTATGTGTGAAACCAGGGGCATCACAGCTTGTCCTGATGTGTATATACATAATATCATAGACATATTATCATGAAGATGAGCAAAACTCAATTTCTTTTCCAAACACTTATTTTATGGAAGTTTATAAACTAATATGGTGAGATTGGAGAAATTTTGGAGAACATGAGAGGGGTGGAATTTGGGAAGATAGGCATGGAAGCTTTTTTGTCTTTGAACAAGTTGTTGACAAGAGGTCTAAGTTCACTGTCTAAGGAGTTATTGAGTTGGCAGGGAGTGAAATGAGATTCTTGTATCAGACCCCATGCAGCCTTTGCTCAAGGTTTCAAGTAGGTTGGTCCCAGATTACAAGCTTGTTAGATCCAACCAGCCTTACAAAATTACCAAAACACCCTTCTAATTTCTTAACCTTCCCTAACTTCCTTTCAAACGCACACTAATTAACTTATACCTTTGCTTATGACAACCCTCACAACTTCTATTTTCAACTTAGCAGAATATTTCAGATATGATATTCATCAAATAATTGTGCTAGGTGGCACTAGGACTTTATAGGATAGTTATACTGTCAGAAGGTACGTTTGCAAGTTCATGCAACAGATCATATGTGCATGAATACTCTCTCTCAAATACCCAAAAGAACCTTTATTGATCCTTAGTTTTGCCAAAAACAAACCAAAACAACATAACAAATCCTAGAGTGTCCTGTACTATTTATAGCAACCCTTTGAGGCCCCTCTCACCCAGCAAACTCTGCTCGGTTGTGTACTTTCCCTGTTCAACATCCTAAGCACCAAAAAAAAAAAAATACTACCAGACTTACAACTAACATTTTAACATGAGGGGTAAGTCATCATCTTCATCTTCTTCTTCAAGAGTCAAGGCCATGGATATGCCTTCTAAGTCTATAGAAGAGCCTCATCAGCTCTCCGGCGCCTACATCCGAAGCCTAGTTAAGCACCTTAGCTCATCACGGCCGAAACAACATCCTAAACCTAACTCCCCAAATTCGATCCTTGAGGATCGAATCGATGAAGCTCCACCTCTCCGATCACCACCACCACCTCCTCAACCAAAGAAACAAGTGAGGAGAAGACTTCATACAAGCAGGCCTTATCAAGAGAGGCTTCTCAATATGGCAGAGGCAAGGAGAGAGATTGTGACTGCTCTCAAGTTCCATAGAGCTTCCATGAAACAAGCAAATGAACAACAACAACAACAACAAAAACAACGACAAGAAGCTTTGGAGGATTCCATGAGATACCCTAATCCTAGCCCTAACCCCGGTCCAAACATGTCGCAACAAGACCTACCCATTTTCACATACCCTTCAATACCTTGGTCATACCCTACACCTGCACCCTTACCAAATTTCCATGATAATCTCAACATACCTCTCCCTAACACACCTTTAGGCCTGAATCTCAATTTCCAAGGTTTCAACAACATTGATCCTCTTATAATCCACCCGATATCGCCGCATTCTTCTTCATCCTCCTCCTCCTTTTCCTACTCTTCGCCTACTATGTGTGGCATTGAAGCCATGTGTGGCATTGAAGCTCCCGTGGGGGTTCTGGGTACGAGTACAAATACGGATACAGATATAGATATTGGAGATGACAGGATGCATCTGGCGATGGGCGAGAGGGAGATGGAGGAGATACGGTTCATAGGCGAGAAGCACGACATGGAGTGGAACGACACGGTGAACCTTGTGACCTCAGCTTGGTGGAGCAAGTTCCTTGATAATATGGAGGTGGACACTATGGAGGGTACGAATGAGTTCCGCCCTTTTGATCAGGAGGCCGCAGTGGATATTCCGTCGTGGTTGAAGGATGGATCCGTCGGGCATGCAAGTGCAAACGCAAGCAATCCCTTGATGCAGCATCTTGATGATTACTATTCGCAGGATGCTTCATTGCCATGGTAAAAAAATTTTATGCTCAGAGAATTTTTATTAACTGCAAAAAACAGGCATAGAATATACATGAATTTATCACCACGGTATTCATCAATGTTTTTCTCTAATGTTGATTTTTTTTTACTTTTTGTAGTATATAGGATGGAATTAATTAACTTCAATAATTTGAATTTGATGGTTAATTATTTCATGTTTGACATTGATCTTGGAACAAATCGAGACTAATCAGATGCATGTTTGTATGTGAATTGCAGCTTGGATATTGGGGGTATTGAATGGTTGGATGGAGATTGGCTATCATAACAATGATTGAGCAAATTTTTCAGGGAGAAATTTTCTTGTTTATCTTAATTTTCTCCCATTTTCTCTTTATTGAAGGATTATAATAAAAGGCCTGTTCAGATGTCAAAAGGCGAAGCCTTTGAACTGAGTATAATGTAATAGAGGAAGCAAGCGAAACCTCTGTACTTGTTTTGACACTAATTTTTGTGCGTTGAAGAATGGTATTTAATATTTTGTCTCTTTGGTAACTTTAGCATCATTTTGCTTCTACTTTGTGAAAAATATAAATCTAAGTTGAATCTAAAGTTCGAGTCCCAAAGTGCAAAACTTCTATGGCTTGGTTAGTGAGTGCTGCCTTTATATCTTGGGGGCTGTTTGGTTCGTAGCAAGCTCAGGAAATAGGGTCAGAGGAACCGACACCTCTTCTTTTTTTTTCGTTTACTTACTTTTTGTTTGGTGGGAACAAAGAAAAAGGGGAAAAAAGAGTGTATACGAGACTCACACCCAGAGATGTTAATAATGTAGCAGGTTCCATAAAAACTAAAAAAAATCTATTTCGGATTGTTTTGAGAGAAAATTGGCTAAAAATGATGGAAAAGTATGCTCCACATGTGATGTTTTGATTCCCCCTTCTGAAAGCACCAAAAAATAGTTTCCATGAAACAAACCAAACATGCCCTTAAAGGCGTGTTTGTTTGGATTGAGGGGAAAAGAGAGAAATGAAGTTAGGAGAACCATTCACCTGATTGGGAAATGGAAAAATAAAATTAGGAGAACCATCCAAGTTTCTCTTAACTTTCCTTAACCCAATTGAAATCCAAACATGCCTTACGTAGAAGTCTTGTGAATAATGTTTTGTTGGCAGTAGGAAAGCCGACGACTCTATTAATTGGTGTTATCTAAAACAAGTGCTTGACGGTATGCAGTTTCCTCCCACAATTATACACTGGATCATCACTTGTGTTACATCAGTTAAATACTCCATAATGTATAATAGATCCTTGCATTGCATGTATATTTTTGTGGAAAAGAGAGTGTTGAGACATGGGGATCCTATGTATGGACTATTTGTTTATTTGGATGCACAAATTGGCTAGTCGGGAGAGATTCAAGTTTCATCCAATTAATTTCTAAGCTAAAGATTACTCACATAGTATTCGCAGATGATCTTCTGTTATTCTCTAAGGGGGGTTATTGATTGGGATATTTTGGAGGATAATGGGATAATTTTGGGGATTCTATCTCATAGTGTTATTCATTGGGACAATGGAACAAGGATAATACCTTTTTGTATTATTGGTTTTTTGGAACACTAGTGAGACAATTACACCACTTGGGATAAAATTACCTCACTCATATACAAAAATTTTATCTCAATAGTAAAAATTTATCCTATCCTCCATATTGGAACAATGTTGTTCCACTTTGAAGACAATTGGGATAATTTTAAAATATTTTTGTATTACTTAACTAATACATGCAATTATATTATAATATATGACATGATATATAAAATATAACATATATTAATATTCTAATGATATAATTTAATAACATATATTAATAATATTATATAATAGTAATTATAGTATAACGTATTTATTAGAATATTATATAATATTGTAATAACATATATTAATAATATTATATAATAATATATATTAATATTTTAATAATATATATAATATTTTAATAACATATATATAATATTTTAATAACATATATTATTATATAATTAATTTATAAAATATTATTATAGTTATTATATATATGACATATACTATTATAATATAATATAATAATTACTAATATTAGTAAAATATTATGATAGACATATAATATAAGACATAGTCTTTGAAATATATAATATATTAATATAACATGATACCTTTTAATATATATTATTGTAATTATTATGTAAATATATACTATTATATATATATATATATATATATTTATATATATATATATATATATTATATATATAATAATATATAATATATGAATATATAATATTATATATATAATATTATATAATATAATTAATTATATATTTTATATATATGGGCAAAAAGTGAATCTAAGGTGACACCCTAGGGCTCCCACACCTAAGGATGCGGCGCTAGAATCATATCATTTTCTAAATTTTTTTTGTGAATCCGCTCCTTGAGCTTGATCTAACACGTTCTTAAACCTAAACCAGTCAATTTTGGGTTGAACCCGTTGTGTTTTGACAATCTCGTTGACCGTGCAAAAAGTTTCTATTCATTCGAAGCCATTAAAATTCAACGAGTGATAAAAGGGTCAAACACAATGGGTTCACATCAAAATTGGTGTGTTTTGGGTTTAAGACGTGTAGATCAAAGGTTCATCGGAGCGGATCGTAAAAAAAAAAAGGAAAGATGAATGTGATGTCTAGGTTGGCATCCTTAGGTGGGAGCCTAGGGTGTCACCTTTTTAGATTCATTTCCTATATATAATAAAGTATATTTATTTTATATTAATATAAAATTTTAAAAAATTTACATAACTAATAGTAGAATAGTATAATATTTTATAGATGTACATTATATCCGTATGATACATATTATAATATAGTAAATTAAACCAATTATTATTAAAGTATTCATATTAAATATATTATTCATATATTATATAAATTGATTATATAATGTAGCATACTAATATATGTTAATTAGTAATTATTGTATAACATATTATATTTTTGTTATTATATTAAATATTATATTATTAAAATATTATATTAAATATATTGATATTATATTATATTAATTATTATATATAGTATAGCATACTAATATAATATAATATAATATAATAATTAATAATAGTAATTTGTAAGTATAGTATAATATATTATATTTTAATATAAAGTAAAATAATATTTATATTATAATAATATACTAAATAATATACTAAACCAATTGGATAACTTAATTTAGAAGTAATTAATAGATAAAATTATATTTTAATAAGGTGTCACATCATCAATTATCCTACATGAATTGTCAAATCAAAGGCTCAAATTATCCCATTATCCCACTTTACCCCACTCAAAATATCTCAAAGAGGTAAAATTGTTCCATTGGAACAATTTTCCCACTTGGCCCCAATTCGTCCCAACCAATAACCCTTCCTAAGGGCGATAGAGGTTCTGTTAAATGCATTCAGGAAGCGATACACCATTTTGCTCTTGTATCTTGGTTGGTGGTGAATAAGTCAAAGATTAATGTTTACGTTGGTGGAGTTGATGGTGATACTAGGCAGATTATAATATTGAATGAGTTAGGGTTTGTCGAGGCTCATCTTCCTGCAAGATAACAAATATTACAATTTGACTAACATGTCTCAATTGTAGTGCTACCTATTCAAAGGTTGATCAAACAAGCTATAAGATACATCAATCAAGTTGATCAAGCAAGGCAAGGCTCAAGACTACAAGATAAAGTTGTTGTGCTTCAAAATTATAATTTTCCACTTTATCTTAGTCAATTTTTGTTAAAAGCCTTGATGACACACACACACACTAGACTTAGATTACTAGGTGACTTAACCCCTAGTCTAAGTTAGTTTATACTGATTAATTTGAATTTAAGTTGGTTAAATTTTTAATCTTGACTTTTGATTTAAAATAGATTTTAAAATCAACTTAAGCTTTCAACTGATTTCTCAAATTAATTGAGAGAGTCGACTGATCAGTTGGTCGGTCGACTGATGAAGACCCTGAGACTTAACCAAGTCTCTGGTCAGTCGACTTATGTGTCCACTAGTCGACTGATCAAGGCCAGACATTTTTATCTCTTTGGACAATCTCTGGCTAGTCGACTTATCTTTATATCAGTCGACTGATTCAACAAACAATCGTTTTTAAAAGTCTCTGACCAGTCGACTGACACTGACAGTTTATTATTGTTTGGATTTTGATGTTCAAATTGAATTAGCCGTTTATAGCAGTTAAAACTCGGTTTTTGAAAAATAAATTTGAACTCATTAGTCATGCCTACTGTCTATATATACACCATTGAGTTCATTTTTTATAGAGAAGTTTTTTTTTCAATCAAAATTATCATATACTCTTTAGTTGAAAATATGAAAATAAAAATCTGTTTCTCTTTCCTTCTATTTTCCAAAAGCTTTGAAGTTTTTGTTAGGCATCTAAAGAGAAATCCTATTAGCCACTGATTTTAAGATAATTTTTGATTAAGGCTTATACGGCAAAGTGTTGTAATCTTCTTCAAAGTGTTCTCTCTAGTTTGAGGGAATGTTCTTCTCTACTTTGAGAAGGTGTCTGCATTTTGGCAAGGAGATTGTCAAGGTTATGCAAGAGTTATTATTGTAAGGAAATTCAAGAATAGCGGAAAATCTCAAGCGGGTTGCTTGGGGACTGGATGTAGGTCTGGAGGACCGAACCAGGATAAATCATCGTGTTCGCGGTTGTGCTTTTCTGGTTTGAGTATTCTATTCATGCTGTGATTATTAATTGTTGATCGATATAATTAATCTTATTCTGTTGCATAGTTATTTTCAATTTCGTAAGAAATTTTTATAAAGCACCATTCACCCTCCTTCTAGTGCTTTGAGCATTGCATACAGGATCCAACAATCTTGGGTTTCCTTTATCGAATGGAAGGCTGGGTATATTGATTTATTTCAGCTTTTGCCAAAAAAGAAATAAGGGATATTCACTCCAAAGAAAGACGGTCTACGGATCCAATGGATAGCAGGAATCTTATCTGAAACATTCTAACATTTGCAGCTAGCGTTCACGCCAAAAGCCAACGATTCTCGGCAACAGAAGAAAATGATCAAGGTGAAGAATTAACCAGTTGATTTAATTTGTAGTGGGGCGGTCGGTCCGGATGCTTGCGTGAACATATTGAGTGCGTGTTGGTATTGATATATATTTCTAGATAGACATGCACTCTTTCATTGAGCGGCTCGTGTCGAGACGCATATTATACTTACAAAAAAGAGGTAGACTGATCATGAGATCATTTGGTATAACTAATGAGAGTGACTGTTTGAATTGCTTTGTTTCCTGTAATATTTGGGACAGTATCATGAGGTGGAATTCCCTTTAATTTATTCATTGATGCATTTGTATAGGCCCAGGTACGCCTGGAAGAGTTTTTGTATTTCATGCGCATTGGTGAATGAAAGTTTTTCAATTACGTACCAAAACAGGCCTTCATCAAAGTTTTTCATTGATCCAATTCTCTTAATCATCCATCAATTTAAAAAAAAAAAAACTACGAAAAAGAAGAGAGAAAAAGAAATATGAAAAGGAAAGAGCAGATAATATTTTTCACGTTCAAGGTCTGCTTGCTATATGTGTGGGCTTTGATGAAGGCCTGAACAAAAGTAGGGCCTTGGATGGGCCCTTTGATAAGAGCCACAAGTCACAACGAATACTTTCTAGGCTAAACACTTCGGTCCTAGTTGCTTCTATATTTCAGGTTATTTGTATATATGCCCTGTTGAGTTGAGAGGAGTGGTCGACACCAAAAAATATTTTGTTATTATTTTTTTAGTGGTACAAATACACTACTCTTTACTATAAACTACTACACTCTTTTACAACTACTCACAATTTTTTTTCTTTATTTCTCTCTTTGTTTTCCTTTGCTACTTGGATTGGATCTTGCTTGGGATACTTCATATGCTCATATTTGGCCCCTTATATAGAGTTCTTACACTAGTTAGTGAAGGGATTGGTGGAGACTATTTGGTGGTGTGTGGACACTATTAGGATGATGGCTTGGTAGGTGGGGATAACTGCTGATTTCTAACACCCCCCTCAGCAACGACTTCTCTATCCACAAGTCCAGGAATTCTAACTTCCTTTTCAATGCTTGGATTTCCTCTCCCACTGCTTGTCTCCATTCTTCACTCTCGTATGCTTCTTTGAAGGTAGATGACTCCTTCACATCTTTCGTAATGGCCACAATAGCATACTTGGGATTCGACATCCTGGGTCTAGTTGATCTTCGAAGTTGTTTAGTTGGTTCTTCTTCGATATTCTCTTAACTTCACACTGTCTGACCAACCAAAATCAAGAACCGTGATATGAACGCACATTGGGCTCAAATCCAAAACGGACATCAATTGTAAGCCAAATGCTTGATCAACAAAAACTAATCCACCCACCATTTCGCTGTTTAAGATTGCATATTACAAAAGTATTTCTCGATATTTTGGCGGAAACTAACAAAATAGATTGAAACTAGACCCTAAAGTACAATTGGTATACAACTATTGCTCGTATCGCGCAAAGAGAATCGATGAGTTGTGTCCACCGAAGCCAAAGGAGTTCGATAGAGCCACTTTTACATCTAATCTTTCCTTCTTCGAGCCAACAAGAACATTCGCATCCTGAATCAAAACACAAAAGGTTAGTTACGGAAGTGGATGTTTGAATTGTAATGTTGAGTTACATCATTCATTATTGAGTTTAAGACAACCCTCTATTGAGCTTTGAAATTTGCTCTTTGCAGTATCTATAAAAAAAATGCCGATGCCTACATTACCATGCAGATGAATCACTTAAAACAAAAATAGCCATTGCTTAAAGTCTCAAAAAAGAGATCTTGGATCTAATTTAGAGTCAGGGCGCAGTTCTGGTATAGGAGAGAGTAAATACACAGTCATCAAAGATAGAGAACATACCACATTTTTGTCTGGGTTTTCTAGATTGATGTTAGGATGTACCCAGCCAGTTCGAATTGCCTGAAAAAAAAAAAGATACATCTGTAAGAATATATATAAGAAAAGTTAATTGCACAGACCCCCTGTAGTACAGCTAGCTGTTACTACCCATGAAGTTACATTGGTGGAGATAGACCCCTTGAGTTTATATTTTGATTTCTTACCCTCAGATAGTCTCACTAATTTCACTCCGGGCAATGTCTGCCAAAATTTTACCCAGGGTAGACGAGCCAAAAAATAAAGGGGGAAAAAGATCCAGGCAGTCTATTTGCAACAATGAAACTACTGTTTATGTATAACAGTAGGCGTGCATTGCAATGAGAACCCTCAAAAGATAAAATCATTTGGTCAATAAGCACCTGATTTCTAACAACTTGATTAAGAAATTCAAGCAACCTTTAAAATTCAAGCAACCTTTAACCTTTTTTTCGCAACTTTTAACATGAGGAACTACTGAAGCAAACCAAAAGGCCAATACCGTCTTTAACAAACCGTATGACGATTATGCATAGCTCTACCCCAAGATTACTTTTCACTGCTATGTATAAGCAACACTCGGTTTCACGAAACATTTCTCACGGGTAAATTTTTACAAGTTTTATACCCACCCCTCCCCTGTAAGTCGGAGGTAACTTTTTCTTACACCAAAATGTTGTGTAAAGCCTTAAACAGTAAGGTTTGATTTTATATAAGTTTTATGGATTACCAAGAATTAATACTTTTGCATCAAAGGCTACAGTTATACCTGTATTGTAGCAATAGCTTCCACTGCTCCAGCAGCTGCTAGTAGATGACCGATCATGGATTTTGTAGAATTCACCCTTAGCTACAAAATTGGTGAAGTTTATCAGGTTATAACCACATGCACATACACGTGTAAAATAAGTTCATAGATTAAATCTGTAGTATATGTTGATTGTAGTTACCTCAGGGTTTTGCCCAAAACAACTCATGAGAGCATGGTACTCTTTCACATCCCCCGCTGGTGTTGAAGTTGCATGAGCATTTACATAGTTAACATCCTCTCGAGATACTCCAGATTCGATTAGTGCCTTCTCTATGCAAAGAGCAACGCCCATGCCTAAAAGAATTGAGAATCTCAAGAGCATTAGTCAGAAGAATACAGAAAATAGACAGCGATAGTTCAGTATTCCGTTTTTTTTAACATATGTACCCCCTAGATCATGCATATTTACAAAAGTACCATCCAAATTTCAGTATTTGCAAAAATATCCACCAAATCTCAGTATAAAACTACCCAAAAATCATCTACTTTGGAAAACAATACACTTCAAATCAGCAAATAATCAACTTTGCTGGATGTGGTGATTAAAAATTTGACTACTTCGTTGATATTTTTTACATTGTAGTTGCAAATTAGCCTATTAAGTTGATGATTTGTTGATTTAGGGGTATTTTTTTTCCAAAGTCAATGATTTAGAGGGTGGTTACGTAGATACTGCGATTTGGGGGTAGTTTTGCAAATACAAGTTACTGGGTATGTATATAAAAAACCCAAAAAAGAATCGACTCTTTACCCTCAGGGTGTGGCTCTGTCATATGGTAAGCATCACAGGTGACACTCCCCCCTAGAAACTCTGCATGTATATTTGCTCGTCTTTGCTGTGAAGAGGAAGGAAAACAATGATGAGAAGTAAAGTTTTTATACACCACCACCAACAACAGCAGCGAGGTCTTTACCCCCAATTTTTGGGGTCGGATACACTCTGTTCTATTAAAGCACATCTCTCCATTAAGTTGACAATCATCATATTCTTTATAAATTCTTCCAATCAAGCAAATTTTAGCCATTACCTTGTCACTTATTATAACTGATGCATTTAAAAGAAACATGTTTTGCCAAACATGTCAAAATGATAGATAATGTAGCTAACCTTAGCATGTTCGAGTTCTTCCAACAGAAGTACGCCCGAACCCTCTCCCATAACAAATCCATCACGGTCCTATCACATGATAGATATTCTAGGTAACACAAATGTGATGAATAATAATATTGATGATAATAAGCACAAAAAAAAAAAAAAAACCGCGTCCTGAGTTCTATGTCATCATTCATCTGTCTATGCTTACACTATCCCACGGACGAGATGCTTTGGATGGATCATCGTTTCTTTGTGAAAGTGCTCGGCATGCCACAAAACCTCCCAACCCTGCAAATGCCAAGTTCATTAGTTACTTCTAGATGATAATAACAATAATAATGATAACAATAACCACAAATATAATAATGAGGAATGATAGCATTCATAAGAAGACACAACAGAGATACCAATAGGTATGATTGCTGAATCAGAGCCACCACAAAGCATTAGATCCTGCATGAATAACACATTTTAGTAAGCACTCAGCAGTAAGAGTGCAGAAAATGAGTTAGCCCCTAAACCTTGTTTATCTCACATAAACCCCTTAACTTTAAGACATCTCACATAACTCTCCTAAACTTTGTTTATCTCACATAAGCAATCCCCCCCCCCCCACCCACCCACCTTCACTGTAATTTGTAAATAAGTTAAATTTACTGAGAGGAAAACCCAAAAGTTTAAAGGAGGGGGTAAGTCACCTGTAAATGACAAATGAAAACATGTCATTTTTTTTTATCTCAAAGACAAGTTCTTATTTGCAATTACTGGTAGGAGGCTACTGTGACAAAATATTAAACTTTTTTTTTTGGGGGGCGGTGGCGGGCGGTTCGGGGGGGGGTGCGTACGGGTGAGCGGGGTTTGACGGGGGCGGGTTGTGAAATTGCCCCTAATTAAAATTTCTTCCAGGCATAGATAAGTAAGAGTACAGAAAATGAGTAACTTACAGCTTCACCCCTTATGATATGGTTAGCTGCATTGAGGATACAGTAATTGCTAGTGGCACAAGCAGTTGAAATTGAATAGTTAGGACCCATCCAACCCTACAATCCAGACGGAAAGAAGAAATCAGCATGAAATTAGTGTCGAAGAATAGTAAAGCATCAATTGGTAAGCTATGTTTCTTCAAAAAAAATTGTTTGCTTTTGCTTACCAGATCCATTGCAAGTAATGCAGGACCCATATTTATCGTTGCAAAGGGAATACAAAAAGGGTTCACCTTCTTGTATGAGACCCTCAAAGCTTCAATTGCATCATTGAAGACCTGTATAAAACAGACCCCGTATTTATCACGAACATGAGGATTGAAACGATAAAGAAATAACTTTCTTTGTAGAATTTTTTTTCTTCTAATCCTTCTATGCTAGCAGAAATCAGTATAGAATCAAGTACGAGATTCTACCTTCATTCCACCTAGGGAAGATCCAATGATAACACCACATTTTGTCTTGTCTAGCTCGCTCAGGATTTCTTCGGTAATTCCAGCATTTGCCAGAGCCTTTTTGCCAGCGGCAATCATGTAAAGCATGAATTTGTCCATTTTCTTGGATAGCTTTGGTGACACCAATCCATCTGTCGAAAAAGATTTAATCTCCCCAGCAATTCTCTATGGACAAAAATTTCAGCATCAGGAATCAAAAAGTGACATCATTCCCTAAGTTCTCTAGTTAACAATGTAATATGACATAGCAATAGTACTACGGTAAAATCACATGAATCCCTTCATCTAAACTCTGTTTCTCAAGAGAACCCCTCATCTCAATAGTTGAACAAAAAAAGTCCTCATCTATGACCATGAATGAAAATTTTTAATTTTATAATGGAGATTTACTTTTCAGACAACTAGGAAGACTTTTTTGCTCTTCAGTAGACGTTTGGGCTTCATAAACCATAAACATTAACCTCAATAGTTTTTAGATAAAGTAAAAAACTCTTCAAGTTTTTAATCAGTAACCTAGAATTTTTCACATGTAGATGTCTGAAGAACTGAACTCCATTGAAAGT